TTCAAATCAGTTCACTTCCACAGTGTTAGGGAACTTGCATGGCTTTTGAGTAAATGTAGAGAAAAGACTGCTTTGGGCTGTTGAAGGAGCCTGTCTGAGGTAAAATATTTAACCTATTTTCAAAGAACCTTATTTGGAATATCATTTTGAGTTTGAAGCCAATGTGCTTCCACAGTACAACATTCTTCTTCAGGGTCTGAACAAGACTGAAATGTTTTCTCCTAGTTACATTTTTAGAAATACCTTTTGTGACTTATTTTTTCATCAAACTTGAAAATCCTCCTCAACAACTAAACATATGTTGCATTTTTAGTCCTTGGTTTTCGTGTTTTATACGGCAATCATAGACGGCATACTTTTTGCTAATTAGTGGGACATAGAAGAAAGTTGGGTTTTGCAGGTTTTCATCTCTGTCCATGATAACCATGCACCTACAAATTAATAAAAAAAAATTCTTATTTGTTTTAGAAAGTTATTTTGAGAAAATACCTTTGTATATCAAATAAAACAGCAAGAGGTCTCATGTTCATTTCTGCACTGGTGTATCTTGCCTTTTCTCAGGAGGAAAGCCTTGATATCAAAAGGGCTGTGTTTATATGGGAAGTTTTCGGCAGCCTTTGGGGCTTTCGGAGCACGTGCCGTGAGGAGGTTGTGAGGATGCTTTGGAGCTGCCGTGACGGCGTCCCTGAGCACTGCCCTTCTCAGCATGCTTTTCATGTGCTTCGCTTCACATCTGATAAGAATTGCACTTTTGTCTTTTAATTAATAACCAAAAATTTCAACTTGCATTCTTTTTTTTTTTTTTTAAGCAAGGCTAATTTTCTTTCTTACAAGCTTCACAGGCAGCAGGGAATTGGAGGCTGGTTTTGTGTGCTGGGAGAGGAGGAGGCTGGTTTTCTCTTCCGTGGGAAGAAGCCATAGTGCTAACGCTTTCTTGCATGTTTTTGGATGCATGCGTGTGTAAAAATGAGGGAGTTAAGGAAAATGGTAACCAGTCACTGAAACTATGGGCTACCTTCAAAAATGTTCATTTATAACTGACTCTATCCAGCTGCTGCAGAAATGCCAGTAGAAAAGAAATGCACTGTAGAAAAATGTCAGTGAATCTGAGGTTTCCCTGCTTCTCCCCAGTCTTCTGTTCATTAGAATCAATTTGAAAATGTTCATAAGACTTTGAAAGCGGCTCCTTGCCTTCTCCGAATGGGACCAGACCCCACAAAACTCCTCCTGCAGGGATTCACAGATGTCAGCTGTGCTCTCCCGTCCTCAAAGTGATGCTTCCCCATGACATCCCAATTCTCTGCTATATAAACTGTGATTTTTTATCCCATATCGTATGCAGCTTCTTGCAGAATTCTTTCAGGTGTCATGTTGAGACCATTAATTAAATGAATGGTTATATTCATGATCCATTTCCGAAGAATTTCAGCCTGATGCTTCTAGTTTCTTATTCCTGAAGGGAATGTCATTTTTCCCCTTAAACAATACCACCATATGCTTCAGCTATGAAATCACCATTTTCTCCCACCTGACAGTTTCCATAGTTGTGCTGTTTTAATGTTTTATCAAAGAGATGAGATCTATTGCATTCTCTTTTTCTGTTGGATTTCGTTCATGTAAAAAAATGCTTTATCAAATAAAAATGTCTCATTAGTCTGTTGCACTTTGTATTACCTTCCTTCAACTTCTAAAGTTGTTTTAAAGCCTTAAATTCTATTGTGGGCATGGTGGTTAGCCTGAAATTTGCCTGATTCACTCTCCACTTTTCCTTAAATGTAGATAATACATTTACGATTTCCCAGTCACATAGCATCACTTTCAGTTTGTTTAAAAAAAACCCACATGCTCCTGGATTTGCAGTTTCATGCTCTCAAACGTGACTCCATTAAGGTTCTTCTCTGCCCTTGACTCCATTAGCTGCTCTGCCTTTTCCCACATGCTGGATGTCACCTTCTTTGTGGAAAACTGGAGTATAATGCTCATTTAGTTTTTGAGCCATAGTTAAATATCCTTAACCTCAGTCCAGACAGGGTCTGTCTTTTTTATCAGCTCATAGAAATAAAGCTCTTTCTGCATGCTCTCTCTGTTCTTTCATCCCCTCACGTCTCAGCCACCGAGAAGGACTCTCCTTGCTGGCCGTTCCTCCTGGACACCCTTCTCCCAGCCCTGTTTTCCCATGCTCTCTACCCAGACTATCAACGTTTTCTTTTGCTCAGGTCTCATCTCTCTCCAGTCCTCCTCCTTTTATGACAAATATTTCTGGGTCTATGGCAAGGTGGTACTTGAAGTATCTCCAGTGTTTGTATTCTTGTTGTATTCTCATACTTCACAAAGTCCTCTGCTCTGCTCTTTACTGGCTTTCTTCCCATTATTATGTTTTCTTTCCTCACCTGCTGCTCTTTCATGAGTTTTCCTGGCTGCTGTCGTGCTTTAACCCCAGCCAGCAACTAAGCAGCACGCAGCCACTCGCTTGCTCACTCCCCACCCCGCCGCAGTGGGATGGGGGAGAGAATTGGGGAAAAAAAAGTAAAACTTGTGGGTTGACATAAGAACAGTTTAATAGGACAGAAAGGAAGAAAATAATAATGATAATAATAACAACATCAATACAATGACAATAATAATAATAAAAGAATTGGAATATACAAACCAAGCGATGCACAATGCAATTGCTCATCACTCGCCAACTGATGCCCAGTTAGTTCCTGAGCAGAGATTCAACTGGCCAGGCCAGCTCCCCCCCCGTTTATATACTGGGCATGACATCACGTGGTATGGAATACCCCTCTGGCCAGTTTGGGTCAGCTGCCCTGGCTGTCCCCCCTCCCAACTCCTTGTGGCCCTCCAGCTTTCTTGCTGGCTGGGCAGGGGAAGCTGAAAAACCCTTGACTTAGTCTAAACATTACTTGGCAACAACTGAAAACACCAGTGTGTTATCAACATTCTTCTCATACTGAATCCGAAACATAACACTGTATGGAAGACAATTGACTCTACCCCAGCTGAAACCAGGGCAGCTGCTCACAAAAATCATTGCTGTGGCTGAAGTTCAGGAGGGCGTCCCAAGGCTGTCGTGCCTAGCAATTGCTTCCACTGTCAACCACCGCTAAGTAGATTAGAGGCTGCATCGCCCAAGCATCAGCGGAACACGCAGTTAAAATGCCCGTGGGATTGAGAAGTGGTCTTTAGCGTCCTTTCTGTCTCCTGCTCTCCCACCTGTCACCAGTGTCACTCCACTCTTTCCAGACGACAGAGAAGTTCGATGGCTACTCCAAAGCTATCAGTCACATTGAAAACTAGAGCATCTCCTGGGACCGTTTCTATCCTACCAGCCTGCGTGCCGCTGAGTGGCCGCTCCTTCAGCTCCAGCAGCGAGCGGGGTTCCTCAGCGCCGGTGCAGCTTTGTGTCCTGCGGCATCAGCCCGCTCCCCCCGGCCACCGCTCTGCCCGTCCGGGGTTCGGGAGCATCGCACGGCTCGCCTCTGCGGGGATCCCACCCCCACAAACATCTGCTTTCCTTCTTATTTACTTTGCTGTGCTAAGAAGTGCTCTCAAAATTATTCACCGGCTTCTCACCGCTTTTTCCACAAAGTTTTAGCAATTGTGCTTGATGCCATGCTGTTCTTAGGGCTTGTCAGTGACATTTAATAGTATCCTTCGCAGTGCGGTTCTCCCCATCCCAGTGTGCAAGTGAGCAACTTAAGATGGAAAGCTATTTTAGAGAGAAATTACAAATGTTGCCTAATACGCGATGCAAAATATTGACAACAGCAGCATATTGCAGTGCCTAATTACCTTAGTAGAAGGTTATGCTTCTCTTACGCCTGGGTGGCTTTTTTTTTGGTTGCATATCTACAGAAAAGATTTTCAATTAACATTGACCTTTAATACTGCTACTGCTTTTTGATTCTACAGCTGGTGAAACGGACTACAAATTAGATTTTGCAATATACCTTGTTCTTTATATTTCTCAACAGATTAGTTTCAGTTTGCAGTACCTACACCGGCACCTTCAGCTCGCAATTCCCTCGCAATCGACAGTGCCATGTTCAAACCCCCAAGATGTTGTGTAGAAATGCTGTCAAACTCTTCTGATATACATGTTTTCATTCTCCAGCTGTACTTGGTACTCATTTTAAAAAAATATAAAGTCTTTATGGAGGAATATTTTTGAACTAAAATTTAGAAGGAAAGGAATCTGTCTGGGGTGCATTCACTTCGGATTGTAGGGGTGTTGTTTTTCACCAAGTTCCAATTAAAGTAGCTATTGCACCCCAAAGAACACTATTTTTTGTTATTGTTCTGATAATAACTGAAAAAAAGCTAAAGTATGGCATAATAAACAAATCACATTCATTTGAGTCACTACCATACCAAAGATATTTTAAAAAATAGTTAGTAGAACTATGCTATATTTCATTGTTGTCAGCAGGGAAATCCATGCTAATTGAGTGTATGTTTGCTTTAAACATACGTTGAATGTCTTGAGTATAAGATTAGCAATGACAAATATAATAACCTTTTGAAAAGCAAAAATAATGTTTTGGATACTAAGTTGTCATTAGAGATTTTGGTGGAAAAAGTCCCTTGGTTCCTTAAGTAAGCAAGCAGAAGTTTAATGTCTTAGGAAAAGGGTGGTACTTTTGCACAGGCGCACATGCCGACTCCTGATCCTTACGAGCTGAAACTGGAGCAGAAAGGGCTGCTCCAATGAAGTCATTAAGTCCAGTCCAGAAATAGCTGAGACTTTCTACTTACTGCTCCACTGACCGCTCACAGCAGGAAAATCAGACAGGAAGAACATAGCAGAAAAATATATCTATGTTTGTTGTGTGTTTGTAAGATAGGCTTTTGGTTTTATTATGAATTAACAAATGACTCATGTTTTGAGGTTCAACTCCAATATATTATAGCTGTATTCAGTCTCAAAATCAATAGCAAGTTAATGGTATGTAAAAGCTCCTACATTTTCTTACTTACGGTTTCACCTTTTTTCCCAGGTGTTACTTGGAAGATGGAGCTTCAAAAGGTGCCTGGCTGAATCGGTCGAGTATTATTTTTGCTGGAAGTGATAAGTGGTCAGTAGATCCTCGAGTTTCAATCGCAACAGCAAATAGAAGAGAATATAGCCTGCAGATACAGGACGTAGACGTGACAGATGACGGTCCATACACTTGTTCTGTGCAAACTCAACACACTCCTAGAACGATGCAGGTGCACTTAACTGTACAAGGTATGTGTTTAAACCAGTTGCAAATTGTTATTGGAGATGTACTAGAAAAGCCTGTGTTTGTAGATGGGAAGCATCAGCTAAGCACGTTTTAAGGCTTTTTTTTCTTTCTTTTTTCTTGGATGTATGTAGCCATAGACTCTCTATGCCATTGGCTTCGGGCCCCTGCAAATAGATAATTAGCCCAGAAGGGTCTCCAACTTGCCAAAATCAGCTTTAAATCCTCACTCCTACTCTTCTGGCAATTGAACAAGATGTAAAAATATAAGAGGAAAATAGTCCAGTTCCCGGCAATGGTACCGTGCAGTTATCTGTCAGTTTGGTACAGGTCTCCTGCATGGCTCAGAATTTGGTTGTTTTGCATGGTAATTCAGCCTAGTCACCATGTAAAAGTGAATACTCAGGTGCTGAGTTCACAGAAGGTGACCAAATATTGCCAGAAACATCCTCGTTTCCTTTGTGATGCCAAGATGTGTTCAGAAATAGCCAGTGCCGCTACTGCAGCAGGCCATGGAAGGGTCACTGGGGATCAGGACCCAGCTGTCCTTGGGGACGGAACAAGCCACCAGACATGCTTTGATGATCATGCAATAAAAGAATCACATAAAAGACGCCTGATGGATGCAGCGAGATAGATGCCAGAGCGCAATCTGTCATACACAGTTTGCAGGTGGCATGGCCATCAGCTGCCCCCGCACCCCAACAGCCCGGCTCCAAATTTCCTACAGGACTATTTTGATGAGAGTTGCAAAGGAGGAAAATGAATGGGTTTGTGGGCTCCTTCTGAGGCAGTTCCTCGAGGGCAGCCTGGGAGAAAGCACAAAACCGCTTCACCCCACGGTGCTCCTGCGTCAGCAGGCAGGGTGGCGGGTCACTCCTCGGAAAGCTTGTCCCCTTCCCGGCACGGCTCGGCCGCAGGGAGGGATTCACCGGAGCACTTCATACCCCATCAGCAGCCCCACAGCCCCGAAGGTCTTCTTGCTGTTCCCATGGCGCTCAGCTTACCCACCCGCGTGGATGTGTCCTACCCACATGAAGCTTTAAGTATGAATTTTTCTGTAAATTTTAGTGGCATTTAAAAGATGCAGTATTTGAGCACTGCAAGTGTCTTCTCTGGTGTGTGCCATCAGAAGCATTGTCATAAAAACAAGAATTAACTCATCAGCTTAAAAAAAGCAAAGCTAGAATGCATAAACCAATTTTTCAAACATAGAAATAGAAATTCTGTTAGATTCAGAAATTTAATATAAATTCATTAAAACCAAAATAAACAAGTGAAGACAAAGTAAGCTGATTTTGCATTAAAATCCATAGGTTTTGTTTCTTCCAGAGCAGTTTTCTCACAGAAATAACTAAGATCCCAATATTGTTTCTAAGAACAGTCCATTTATTTCCGTGAGACAGTTTTTGTTATAAGCACTGCAGAACAACAGTGACAGTTTTACATACATGGAGGTAATATTTATTGTATTGTTCCAGGGTGAACAATTCTTAGTTTTGATTGTCTTTGTAATAGTTAATGCCCTCGTGCAAGGGGCTAAAAAAAAAGTTGGAAATTAATTGCATGTATAAAACATATAAACAGGAGCTTAAAATTAATTAGGCTAACTACAAGCGTATAGAGAAATAATAACTCAATAGTTAAAAATATGCATAATTATTAAGCAATTGCAGTTATATCTTCAGAAATGCAAAGTATAACCTAAGGCTTTAACTTATTAGTCTTTGGTGTAATCATCATTAACATTTTCTTTTGCATTTTTATGAGTAATAAAGCAATGAATATAAAACAGAAGAATTCAAATGGCAATCTCTATTAATCCATATGGCACACCAAAATCCCTTACAAATAACGTGTATGAAATGCTTCTCAAACTAATTATTCTCAACCACTGAACCTTTAGACCCCAATGGTTTGCAAGAATGTTAGGCTGTTGCTTTGTAAGAGCTAAGTGTATTTGTTGTATAAAGAACGTTATTTTATTAGTACAGCCAAAAAGCCATCACTTAGTCATTTTTATAACCTTCCTCAGAGGCAGCTGTTGCGTGAAGACCCATAAACGTACTCTTTACTTGCGGGGGTTGTTCAGGGATTGCAGAAGTATTTGTACGCTATCGGACTGGGAAGCTGGAATGAAGAAGCTGTGACAGTATCAATTATTATTTCAGTTGGGAGGGGGGGAGGTAGAGTGTTACACCAATATTATTTCAGTTATATTCTATGTAGGAAGTAGGGACTAGCTCCATGAAGCATAGCCAGAAGTGAGCCATTTTCAAGATAAAGTTAAAAAAAATCACTCTTCCTGTATTTTTTCCTGTGTAGTTCTCTTAGCACTTAGCAAGAAGGGCAAGCCGCTGAGCTCCCTGCTTGTAGAGAGAGGTCCTGCATCCACTGAGCAGCACAGCAGGATCAACAGCTCTGGAGGATGCCCCATCCCATCTCAGTGATGACTGTGGCCATTTCTTTCCATTCCAGCTCATATCTTTATGTACATGCTCCTGCAGATACTAATAATTATCAGCCGTGCAGTGGTTGCTCAGTGGATCGGATGCGAGTCACGCCAGTCCAGTCGCTGATCCCGCACAGGTGGGATCCCGCCTTGAATCAACATTGGGGTTTGCCCGGTAATTTAGAGCGACCTGCATCACCCTTACTACTGTCGTTATCTGTCCAGTGGACCTGAATGGGACTTGTGCGTGTAAGCACTTTTAATCGGGTCGCTTCGTACTTACTCTGCTAATAAAGCCATCGCTTCACCTTCCCTGTGCTGAGACTCGGGAGGTAAGGATGCAAGATTCATGCATCCTTTGAGATGGAGATTGACCTGTCTGAGAGTAACCGAGACTGTAAAGGCAACATCAAACAGCTAATTGGTGCTATAAGCTTATATATCCTTTCCTGCTGAATAGGGTTCATAGGGATGATATAATAACATTTTATGGAAGCAGTTTTATGTCTCCTTTCAATATTGTTCATGGCTTTGTATTTCAAGATTAGAAACAACTTCTGCTATTGGGGAGAAATAAATGAAGGGAAAAGCGGGTCTTTTGCCAAAGTAAAATCGTTCAGTCAAAGGGCTGGGTTTCCTTTTACATTGTGAATAAATGATCAGCAGCAGACCTAGAGCAGCACATGAAATAATAGGAGGAAAAGAAAATTTAAAAGCAAAGTCTTAGCCCTTTAAAATTCCTCTGCCCTACAGGCTGTATTCTGTCGAGTAATGTTGAAAGAAGACGTTCTCCTGCTGAAAACAGCAGAGCTGGAAGAGCCAGGGGTGTGTGCATTGTGTCACAAATTAAATGAATAAAGACTTACATCTGATCATAAGCTCCCAAATAGGTTCAAACTCCAGACTGCAAAATTATTTGCTGTGAAACTCCACTTTAAAAGCCGTGTAAATCCAACTCTCTCACTTTATTTCTTTTTTCCTGTGTGTGTGAGGTCTTTCTATACACACAGATCCAGTAGCTATCATTTTGAATGTCCTCTTCTCTGCTATTTGGGCTGGCAATTTCTGAACATATTCATGTAGGTGTTTCAGAGAATAAACACATCTTAATTCGTTAAAGATGCCTTAATTTCCATGAGTAAAACATAGAAAGGAAACATGATCAGTAAATAACCAAGGCTGAAGGGAAGCAGCAGCCTCTCCATCGCTGTCCCATGCACAGATTGAGGGAGCAGTGAGACCTACTGGGGTTTGGCCACAGTCCATCAGGAATCTCTGGCAGAGCTTGAAGCTGAGTTTCAGTCTCCCAAATCCCGGCTCAGCACCTTAACAAGACCGCCAGGTTGAGTCTAGATCACTGTTACTTATTACATAGTCACACCTTTTTGTACCAAGAAAACTAATCAAGATAGTTGTTAAAAAAGAAAAAAGCCTAATGTGTCTTTGGCCCACATTTACATCAGTGAAGTAAAAATCACTTGAAAGAGAGGAAGATAATCCAGTTAACTTTATTTCAGTGACCTTATTAAAAAGAAGTGAGAATTATGGTGTAATTAATTAAAGTTTAGAAGGTAGGAGTTTGTAATCAACTCAGTCTACCTCAGTGCCAGATGCTTGATCTGCAAAGTCATGAAGTGCAGATGATTTAAACATCAGATGTTTGCCACAGTAAAGTAAAAAAATGAAATACCTCTTACCAAACACTGTTGCTCATAATTTTTCTAGCAAAAGGTTGCAATTTCTGCCATTTCTAATATGACATTTATTCTACCAAAGTTTAAATTGTGTCCTCCAAGCTGTGTTTCCCTTTCAATTTGCAAAAATATTAAGACATGTTTACCAATGTCCTTGAGAATTAATTTTGCCACGGGGCAGAGCGACAGGTCACAGCCCGAAGTCTGCCGCTCTCTCCGTGTGTCAGGACGCAGTAATGATGTTACCGCACCGTGCGGGGAAAGGGCAGGTCGGGCTGCTGGTTTGTGACTGCAGGGAGATAGAGGCCAGAACAGGGTCTTCAAAGGGACCTCGGCCACCAGGAGAGGGCTACCAGGATGATTAGGAGAATAAAGAACACGTCTGAAGGAGATTGCTTTGTTTAACCTAGCAAAATGAGGGCTCGGGAAGAATTTTGTTATGCTTTATTAATACTGTTGGTGTGGGTCCAAGGAAGGGAGAGCAAACATACTGGCTAAGGGAGAGCACTTTTACAAGACTAGCCAAATATAACTTAGCCATCCGTGAATTTTAATGTGAGGTGAGGGGAAGGTGCTGGTCCCCATCGCGTCCTGGATGGGCTGTCGAGGGAGAGTGGCCCGGGTTCGGGGCAGCGGTTCCCATGGGGGCTGGTGGGGCAGGGGTGACCATGATGCTGCTGAGCGAGGTTTGTGACCGTGGTCTTCCTAATGACGGGATTAAGGATCTGACAGCTCCATTTGTCTCCTTAAACGTGAACAAGGAGCCTGGTGATGCTCCTGGCGACAGCAGTGCCGGGACCTGCTGGCACAGTCTGGGTCGAGGAGGGTGTTTTCAAGGCTGTATTTTGGTCTGTCACGG